CCACTGTCGCTACAAGCATGTGAGGAATTGCCTTCGAGTCAATGAGTCGATGCAATCAGCTGGTTTTCCTTAGATAGAAAACTTTGAATCAATCTGACTGGATGATCTGGTGAACTGGAAAGTGCCTTGAGATGACATGATGTGAATTGGAGCTATAGAAATAAACTGAAAACTAAAACAGAAAAAAAACTAAAATAACTCATAGCTGCAGCCCCAGTGTTTGTAAAATGGGATCTTTCTATAACTCCGTCCATCCATGTTCTTCCACTTATCTGAGGCTGGATTGAGGAGCCAGCAGTCTAAGCAGAGATGCCCAGACTTCCCAATCAACACACACCTCCTCCAGCTGCCCTGGGGGGACCCCGAGGCGACACCAGGCCAGCTCAGAGACATAGTCCCTCCAGCGTGTCCTGGTCCTTCCACCAGGCCTCAGCCAAATGGGACATGCCTGGAACAACTCCCGAGGGATTGTTAGGGTTAGGGATGCATTCGGAACAGATGCCTGAGCCTCCTCAGCTGGCTCCTTTGGATATGGAGGAGCAACAACTCTACTCTGTGCTCCTCCCAGGTAACTGAGCTCCTCACCCAATCTCAAAGGGTGCGCCCAGCCACCCTGCGAAGGAAACTCATTTCGGCCGCATATATTCGCGATCTTGTCCTTATGGTCATTACCCAGATCTCATCATCATGGGTGAGGGTGAGATTGTAGATCGATCGGTAAATCCAGAGCTTTGTCCCTCGACTCCGACTCTCTCTTCACCATGACAGTCCTTAACAGCAACTGCATCACTGCCGACGCCGCACCGATCCATCTATCAATCTCACGCTCAATCCGTCCCTCACTCGTGAACAAGACCCTGAGAACTCCTTCACTTGAGACAAGGACTCTCCACCGACCTGAAGAGGGGAGTCCACCTTTATCTGGTGGAGAACCATGGCCTTGGATCTGGGGCTGTTGATCCTCAGGTCTCCCTCGAAAAAGAGATTGTAGTTTAACAGACCTGTCTGCAGCTTCTCTACTGTTACCCACTCCATCCAGACAGCGTCTTGCCCACGACCAAAATCCAATAAATTAGCAAATATTCCCAAAGGAGTAAATCATGATAATGTAATTAAAATCAAAATAACTCCAATTGGGGAAAAAGTTAAAAC